CCCTCTGCTCCTCAGCTGCACGATCGGCACTCAGCCCTCACACCTCTGAAGGGGGGCAGCATGCCGGACGTAACCCGAGCTGTGAGGAAGCCACCGAAAAGAGTAAATACCCCTACAGTCAAGGTGTTTCCTATACATATACACACACATCCATATCCTCACAAAGAATGTAACTGATGCTCGGAGGCCATTGAGCGCCATTATAATTGACCTCACCATTGTGTGCCTTGTGAATGGGACGGTTACCCAAGAAGCCTCATGTTGGTCTAGGTACATTCGCTTTGAACATTTCGCAGACACAAAAGGGCAGCCAGGGGAGGCACGAAGATGAGAGGACTCGATCGTGCCCTTTCAGTTTCCCTTTGACACTGCGAAGAAAGACAAGTGGACAATGCTGTCTAATAAGCTGTTCATACTCCCTTTATCACATTATATCCTTAGGCCGGGGGCTTATATTTACAGTACAATCAAAGGCTTTGTTGGGCAAAGAGTTGGATCATAATGGTTTTTTTATAGCTGCGTTTACCAGAATGATTTCCGCTTTGATGCAGCCTTGCACGCCTCCTCTAGTCTATCTTGTTAAGAGCATTATATTGTTCGCTCACACAAATGTTCAGAAACATCGCGCCTGGACTTTGGCCAGTTTTGAGCATTATGCGATTTCAGAGAAAAACATGAGCTATACATGGTGAATGCCATACCAGATGTAATAAGGACAGACTGAGAGTTATCTGTTCTACACTGATATGCATCATCGGGGGGATGCAGACAGCAGTTCACAGGAGCTTATGCATTATTCATTGCATTTATTCATCGTCTCGCATGACATTTTCTATTATTTTGCAGGCTTGCTCAGATAATGATCAGTCTAAAAAGGCACCAGAGCTTTTTTACCTCTGTGGTGCATCCACAGGTGCGTGCATGTTGGGGGGGCGGTGAGGTTCCTCAGGCTGCCTGCTATTAAAATTTTATACAGTCTCTTAAAGTTAAGATCCAAATGGTTCTTTTGTGGCTGGAGGAGCCAACTGATGCCTGATGCACCTGCATGTACACGTTCTGGGTTTGGGTAGGTTAACTTGGATGTTTCTGCAGGAGTACATAGAGATAAATGTCTTGTTTCTTCTATTGTCTCACTTCTCACTTATATTTGGAGTGTATCTCAGCCCTCAAAACCATGTTCTCTCTCTCTTTCTCATTCTCTCTCTCTCTCTCTGCTTGTTGCTCAGTCTCACAGCAGATGGAGAGTACGGCCTAGTTTTAGCTTTTGTTCCAAAGTCCCCAGAGAGTCCGAGCCCTTTTTCGGCCTCCTACTCTCCTTATCTCATATGAAATTCAGATACTTTGCTTTGCAACTAGATAAACTACAGCAGTGAATGTACAATCCATTGCCCAATCCCTGACTAAAGAGCACAAATTCTGACACTTTCATTGCAGGAAAAAAAATAAAGACACAAAATATGCAGAACAAATGTCTGTGTATCTGTGTATTCTGCACAAAAAATGGATTGGCATTCTGTAATGCACATTTAATTTGAAATTCAAAGTTGGAAAAAGACAGACAAATTCTCAAAACAATGGTATAAACACAAGTTTATATCATAGTTTATTAGTTTACAATGACATAAACTTCACCTTCTCTTGACGAGTAAAGTTTGCAGAAAGTCCTAAAACATCGCTGTCTGTTAAAAAGTGGTGTTATCTAATACAGGGTGGAATAACAGAAGAGGCTACATGAACTTTAACGTATGAACGTGATATTTAACCTAAGAACTGGTAAAATAGACACCTGTTGATGGCCTTACGGAACAGGTGAATGTGCCGCGCATGCGCAGTGAAGACAGTACGCGTTTGTTTATGTTTTTCTCCAACGCCCTGCTCTCAATATTTAATGAGAGTGAAACCTCAGCGCGCGCAAGCCTCGCAGCTGTTATTACAGCTCCGCTGTTACAACACAACGAGCACGTGCGGGGGAACGAGGACACTTTTTCAGTAAATACAAGAGAAATAATGCACCGAGACGTCAATAACGTTTACAAATAAAAAATTAAAAAAAATAAAATAACACATACAATATGTTTTAATTTATCACACAATAATGTGTTGAAATATTGTAAAACAAACGAAAAACAAACTAGCTAAATGAAAAATGTAGTAAATAAAAAGAAATAAAACTGGAACAACAGCTGTGCATTTTGTTGATTTTTTATATACAAATTGTTGCTTTGTTTAGAATAGAGAGCAGATAAATCATTTGCAATTTAAACGTCTTGTTTCTAAGCTACAGTTACAAAAAAAAGACCAATGAAAAAAGAAATCGACAGAAGTGTTTGGTAATAGTCTTTTGCTACTGTAATGAAGATCCGTTATAGTGACTGTTATCGCTGTGAAAGGCTGTAGTGCAGAAGCGCAGGCTTGTGGTCCTGAAATTTGAGCTGATCAGTGGTTCGAGGGTCGCAGGTATCAGGGCGGCGCAGATGGCCGCGCTCCTACAGAAGATAAAGGTATATGGATAAAAGCTGTAAATAATTGAAGATGGAGAGCGCGTGCATGATATTGCCTTTTATTCTCCGTGTTAATCTGGAGAGGGATCTCAGAGTCAGAGCGCAGCTGATTGGTTCAGAGCTGGGTGGGACACACAACAGCGCTCATCAATAATTTGTAGGCTTTTCCAGTGAAGTGTTTGGAAAATGAGACGGAAAAAAAACTTTGAAAAATTACCAGGCAGTTAGAAAAAATAGTAAAAAAAACAGAAATGTTGAAATCTGAGGAGGAAAACAAAATAAAAAAAACTACAAAAAGAAAACGAAAACAACAAAAAAAACTTTATCTTCGTGCCAAAGTGCCTAAACGCGCTCAGAGTCATCCAGCGCGGCTCGTGCATCTATTGTAAACACGCGTGTATGTGTGTGTGTGAGGGAGCGAGAGAGAGAGAAGGCGCGTGTGTGCCTCGCTCTCTGTATCCGGGTCCTGAGGGAGCGCTGCTCGCGCGGCGTGTTCTGGCGGCTCGCGCGCTCGCCAGCTGCCAGCGCGTGCTGCAGTGAGGACACCCAACACCCCGCGCGCCACGGGGCTCACACACTCACACACAGTGAGCGGCAAAGTGAGCGCGCGCGCGTTTAAGAGCCTTCAGAGCGACATCAGCAGCGCAGAAACACAGTTCAGCTCAGTGCTGTGCATACAGCTCAGCAGCATCTGCAGAGCGAGGAGGAAAAGGCCAGACTTCTAAACTGCTGATATGTACTCCCAAACAACATAAAAAAGAAAAAGATCATAATAATAATAATAATAATAATAATAATAATAATAAAACTACGAAATAACGAACTAAACAAATACAGAAGTCAACGGGCAAGTAGATAAATAAACAAGCGAATAAATTAGCATACTTGCAGTTCGGGGCTTTACGACTTTTTTAAAAACCACAGATAAATAAAGTTTCCTTTTATTTACTTTTTGAGGCAGTTTTTGAACAATCAGAAAACGAACATATGAATCGTACCGAGTTTTCAGGTATTTCAAGAATTATAAAACTAAAACGGTAAACAGTTTCCAATCACACTGCCAGCTTCTGCTCTGCATCTGAAAGTACAGTGCTGAGTACTTTATCCATCAGTGATCATCATGTTTATTCACCTGTCTTATCTGAAGCTGATGTTGAGCATTCGTTGACCTCCTGACAATCATTTCTGCCATTGGGTGTTTGTAAACGATTGTTGATGTTCTTGTTTATCTAACAAGTCTCTACGTACCAATAACAAATGAACGGTTTAGATGAATGGTTTGGATAAATGTTTTTCTGTAAACCATTTATCTCTCCATCCCATCTATTCAGTCCAAATACAATCAGACGTTATTGAGTGCCTACGCTTCCTGTTTTATTCTGCATGTTTGAATGATTTATCTTTAATGAAACTGTTTTATAAGATGAAATGTCTCAATTTATCACAATCAAGTTCAACACGTAGATCATCAGGGTGACACTGATAGAGACCTGCTGTCACCAAGTTATTACAAATTAAATCACGGAACCTAAAAGCACTCCAAAGTCATCCTAACCAGAGAAGAGCAACCATCAACACGCGTATGTTTCAGTTTATATTTTTATTCCAAAATCATTTAAAACATAAAGCATGTGGCAAATTCTCTAATTTCCAAATAAAATAACAAAAATAACAAGTAAAACAAAATGAATAAATAAACCACTTAAGCAGAAGCCAAAAAACAAACAACCTCGCATTGAAATCCATTATTCAAAAGCAACAAATATACAAAACATCTAATGGCTCCTATTAAATATCTTCATCAAATTGGCATTACTAGGCTACGTAAAAACAAAACAAAAAATCCTCCCATTACAAAAAGCGTGTTCCTCAAGCCTATGGCCCGTGTTTAAAGTGCAAGTAAACTTTAGAAGTCGCAGATTCTTTACAGAGCTCAGAAACAAATCATCATCAACCATATTCTACGAAATGCTCACGTAAGCATAACACAAGTCTGTCATATTTATGGAAGACAGTTTTTTTGCATGACTTTAGAGCCCATGGCACTGCTGCGCGATGGCGTGGTGGGGTTTGTGTTTTTTTATTTTGTCAATGTCATGGAAAGGCAAAAAATAATTTCTGTTGGCGAAGGAGTCTTTGAAAACAACAATAACAGCGTATTTAAAAGTCACAAAATTAAGTGTAAAACAGTCACACGGAAACTCGAAGCGGCCTCGTTATGAAAAAGAACGGAGCAACCGTCGTTTTTCGTTTCCCACCCGTATTCCGGCAAGACGCTCCGCTGAGTATGAACCGCCGGCCAGTTGTAGCGAAAGCAGCGGTACACTGCGACCAATCCCAGCGCGAGGGGGCGTGGCTTGTCTCAATACGGGTGGGAAACAGAGACGGCGCGCTTTTCCAAACTCCCGAACTCCAAGCCCCTCGATTGACACGAAAAATGCTGGCCAGTCTCTCTTTCTGCTGTCGTTCATTTCAAAGTGTCTGCTTTAGTGTCTTTCTTCAGAAAGCTCCGTGCCCGAGCGCCCTCAGCTCACTGAGCTCGTCCTCGCTGGGCAGTTCGGCGTGAGCTTCATCAGAGTCGCTGAAGTGGGAGCGCGGGGACAGCTCTCCGTCGCTGCGGCCTGCGCGCGCCTCGTCCTCGCGCCTAAGCGCCGACGGAGGTACCGGCGATGCGCCGGGCGCGTGCAACAGGTCCGCGAGCGCACTGATGTAGATCTGCGCCATCTGCAGAGTCTCGTACTTAGAGAGCTTCTTGTCGTTGTCCAGCGCCGGGATGACGCTGCGCAACTCGTCGAAGGCGTGATTGAGGCCGTGCATGCGCCGCCGCTCGCGCGCATTCGCTGCGATGCGCCGCTGCTTCTGTACAGCCGCAGTGCTGCTGCTCGGCTTGGCCGCGGGAGGGCTTGAAGAGGCGCGGTTTGAGCGCGGCGGGTGGGCGGCGCGTGGCGCAGGCGCGGGGGCAAGCCAGGCGCGCGCCTCGGCGACGTACGGGAGCGCGCTCGCGGCTCCATCCAGCCCGTCTGTGTTCATTCCCGCGCTGATGTCCTTAAACAGTCCTAAAAGTCCAAAGCCGGTGCGTGTTTGTGGCTAGAGTGTATTTGAGGGTGGTGCGTGTATGGGAGTGTGTGTGCGCGTGAGAGAGGGGTGCGTGTGTCTCCTCTTCTCGCACCTGCCGCTCGCGCTCCGTCCACAGGAGGATTTCTTTACTGGTGTCTCAGGGTGACGCGGCCGGTTTAAAAGCGGCACGCGCCTGGGAGCCCCCCTCCTCGAGCCGGTCGCGTGGCGCTTTGACCAATAAGAGCGCGCGGGGCAGGCGCGTGTGGGCGGCCAATGAGAAGGCGAGAGGGGCGAGTGCGCGTAAAAGCGGGTTTGTAAAACCTGTTTAAGCAAAGCGGGGGTGTCACACACGCACAGGAATGTGAGAGAGCAAGCAGAGCGACACACACACATAAACTGTACAAAAGTGCGTGTGTGTTTGCATGTGAGAGTGAAAAGAAGTGTGTGACTGTATGCTGTACAGGTGTGTGTATGTGTGTGTGTGTGTTTGTGTGTCTAAAGGCGCTCACAGTGTTGAATGGAGGCTGTAGGAGTCATTGCAGTGCTGAAGCGTGGAATGGAGTCACTGCCGCGGAAGTGTCCAGTGGAGGCTGTATGAGTCACTGCCCTGCTGAAGTATCCAGTGGAGGCTGTATGAGTCACTGCAGTGCTGAAGTGTTGACTGGAAACTGTATGAGTCGCTGTAGTGCTGAAGTGTTGAGTGGAGGCTGTACGAGTCACTGCATTATACGTTATATGTTGAGTGGACGCTGTATGAGTCACTGCAGTGCTGAAGTGTAGAATGGAGGCTGTAGGAGTCACTGCAGTGCTGAAGCATCCATTGGAGGCTGTATGAGTCACTGCAGTGCTGAAGTGTTGACTGGAAACTGTATGAGTCGCTGTAGTGCTGAAGTGTTAAGTGGAGGCTGTACGAGTCACTGCATTATACGTTATATGTTGAGTGGATGCTGTATGAGTCACTGCAGTGCTGAAGTGTAGAATGGAGGCTGTAGGAGTCACTGCAGTGCTGAAGCATCCAGTGGAGGCTGTATGAGTCACTGCAGTGCTGAAGTGTTGAATGGAGGCTGTATAAGTCACTGCAGTGCTAAAGCATTGAGTGGAGGCTGTACAAGTCACTGAAGAGCTGAAGTGTTGAGTGGTGGCTGTATGAGTCACTGCAGTGCTAAAGCATTGAGTGGAGGCTGTATGAGTCACTGCAGTGCTGAAGTGCTGAGTGAAGGCTGTACAAGTCGCTGCAGTGCTAAAGCATTGAGTGGAGGCTGTATGAGTCACTGCAGTGCTGAAGTGCTGAGTGAAGGCTGTACAAGTCGCTGTAGTGCTGAAGTGTTGAGTGGAGGCTGTATGAGTCACTGCAGTGCTGAAGTGTTGAGTGGAGGCTGTATGAGTCACTGCAGTGCTGAAGTGTTGAGTGGAGGCTGTATGAGTCACTGCAGTGCTGAAGTGTCCAGTGTTCAGATGCTTTTAAAGCTCTCATTTTATGATTCCTCAAACCTCCACTTTACTCTTTCACCTCCATCAGACTTTGAGAAGTTTAAAATGAACTGCAATAAATTATATTTTGTAGCATATGAGGAAAAGGGACACTTTCGGAACAGTATTATTATTATTATTATTGTTAGTAGTAGTAGTAGTATTTTTACATACCTCAAAGAAAGACTAGTTGGTGTTAATTTTATTTATTTTTTAATTTGCATTATTTTAAAATACTTCCTATTATACAATAACAAAAATGAATGAATGCAATTTAATGTGTAAAGATGTATAAAGATCTGCACTATTTACTATTTATGTATTTATTTGTAAAGCCTCCATGCTGAGAGATGGACGTTGGATTTTGTTGAGTCTTTATACTCGAATAATAATAATAATAATAATAATAAAAACATTGATGTTGCTTTATTTTTGCTGTTATAATAATAACAATAATAATAATCATTACTATTAGCATTTAAGTTAATTAATCATTTAATTATTATTGTTTTTATGTTAATAGTAATACTACTACTATTATTATTATTATTATTATTATTATTATTGAGACTATGCTTAATAATCTTACTTGAAGAACACGCTGAAAGACTTTTTAGCATAAATCAATCGATATATGAACGAATAAATAAAGTGACATTTCTTCTTTTGCTGTTGACGTTGTTTCTTCTGCTTATTCCACTGCGTCATATTAAACAAGACTAAAATCCTGACTCCGCAAGAGCGAAATGATTATATGTTTTCAGGTTTCTGTTTATGCTAAGATTAAATAATAATGCTGTTAAGATGAACTCGCGGAGTCGTCGTTTCCTCGTTTCTGCCCCTAAAAGGCCGCGAACGCTCCTCCATTTATTCATGAGTCTGAGAGCTGTGCTAGCGCTCTGGCGCCTGAGCGCAGTCCAACTGGAGCCCCATCCAGTCAGCCTGCGCGGACTGCAGGAGTTTCCTAAAGCAAACAACAGGTTGGATATTGTTGCTGTCCTTTATTAAAGTGTCCCAAACACAAAGGCGACTCTCTGTTCCATTGGACACGCCTGGGGAGCCTTTGGAAAGTGGGCACAGAGTGAATCTCCACGGGGCTTCAGCGCGGTGGAGTCTGCAGGCTGCCCGTTTCATTCCTGTCTCCTGGGAAACACACAGATATGGAGGAGCGCGATAAAGGAGCTTTATATTACCTACAGTGACAACAACAACAACAACAATATAAGCACAACAACAATAAATTAATAATGATTATAACCACTGCAGTGTATCTAATAGACTAATTGATTAGGAGATATCCATCTGAAGCAAAAGAGACTCACCTCGTCGTTTGAAGGAGTTCATGTCTGTGAGCTTTTAAAAATTGAAAGTGCTGATTTTCTTCCTGAAATTTGCACGTTGTTCAAATAGAAAGAAACTGAAATCGTGCTGGGTGCACAGGTGTCTGTCTGTCTGCCTCAGGCAGCAGGAAAACAGTCGCAGTGCTCAGGGGATTACAGGCGACATCCAGTGGACAGTGAGAGCGTTTACACCAGTGCAAATAATACTTAAAACGCCAAGAATATTTATTACAATACCAGAAGCAGACAAAGAAGAAGAAGTAGTAGAAGACGAAATCGTTCTCCAAAGTTGAAAAGCCCATGGAGGTATAAGAAAGAACTAAAAGTTGTACTATTAATGGAAGGAAGATTTTAAGATCTATTAAAATAACCAATACAACTTAAAAAAGCAATTTATTTATTTTATTTATAAACATAAATGATAAGTCCATAATCTTGAATAGTCATAAAACAAGCTGATTAGTTTGAATAATATGACCATAAGGGGCATGTTATTAATACACTTTTCAGTAACAGGCCGTAATAAACAGCAGCTTAATCATTATCTAGTAGTTCGTTGATTATTGTTAGATATTGATATATGAAATTGATACAATTATTAATGATTGTTATTTGATACTCAGAAATGATCTAACTTTAATATCAAGAATTTATTTAGTAGCATAAAAATAATGAATAATAATTATGAATGAACCACCTATGTCTAGCATTGAATGATTATTTACTATCTTACTACCATGTGATAAACTTCCTGAATGCTTAGGTAATCATTATTAAGTGGTTATAAATTAATAAACTTTAATTGGTCCCCTATTATAAAGTCTTTAATTATTTGGGAGTCACCAAGTAAAAGGTTAATAATTAAAATAGTGGCACTTACTGATGCACAAGTAACAACTATATACTCATCAACTATTATTAACAAAGTATTAAATAGTGATTAGGTTGCTATTTATAGGAGCCTGTTATATATAAAGTGTTATCCTAAAAGATAGTCATATATTCATATAAGCATGCTGATCCAAGAACTTGGCCTTTTGAAGCATGTGGGATGAGACTGGTGGGGCAGCCTTGGCTCTTCTCTACTCACTCAAGCATGATGTGATCTGCTGCTGTGCTATTCTGTGTGTCTCTGAGGGCATGACGTCTGGTGCACACGGTCAATGATCAGCCAAAACATTTTGTCCAAGGTACCTGTGGCGTGTTTAAAACTTGTTGCATAGAAATTTGTGAATCTCTGCATAGCTAAAAGTGAGTAAAAAGCAAGAACAAAGAGGACATCACAACTCATACTAAAAATACCAAAGCCTAAACCAGGCCTAAATTAAGTCTTCTGATACAGCAAAGACAACTAAACCCACTGTAGAAAACATGTTTATTAGACAAATTATACACAGAAAGCTTTGCCACTTGTAACAGAGGCCTCAGTTTGTTCCATTTGAATAATATGCAACACATACAACAAAATAGGCCTATATTAAATACTGTACATTATAATCAGTCGAAAATGATCAAGTAAATCCTGTACATACTATGTAAGAAATTAAAAATGTTACAGGCTTAGCAAGTTGTACATGCTTTTTTTGTATGGAAAATAACTTGCCTTCATAAATCCAGAACTCAACATGAAATGAAGCCAAAATCTGAACGCCTCACCAACTGAGGGACTGTGGAGAACTCAATTAGTGCAATGGTGTCTAACGCGATGCTCGGCTTTTTATGTTAAACTCTATATCTTCTCTTTAATCCAACCAAAAAATTATCTCCATGTAAAATATACATTTTAACGTCTTCTCATTTATACTAAATAAAAATCTTGAAATTGATACTAAACAAAAATTGTTCCTATTGTCATTCAGTAGCCATAGCTTAAGAAAAGTACATCTAGAATGCTGTCGTCAAAAAACACTGTTGCTGTTCTCTACACACGACGTTTGGCGAATTAGTCTGAGGATAACAAAACTGAAAGCTCATTCTAAACAACTAACATTAGTAATATTAATACAGTGTTAGTGAAAACTGTTCGGATGTTTTTTTTTTGTATTTTTCTCTTTAAACTTCTCAAAATGTGTCTTTTTAACCTGTCATCACACTTTGATGGCCTTGTTTTAACAATTAGCACTTAAAAAAAAGTTAGATAAATATTACCCCTTAACATTTATGAAACAAAATAGAAAGTTATTTCAAAGAATTCCCCCCAAAGTAGCCGCTGCGTCTGCTCTTTCGGGATGGCCTGCTGTAGGTTTGAGGACGCATGGCGAAAGATTAAAAAGAGCCCTCCATCTAAGGCTTGTGTCGAGAATCCCTTTTGAAAGTTTGAAAGCTCTTTCTCTTCTTGACCTCCGAAAGCTGCGGCGCATATTAGCCATAAGCTGGTGGTCCACGCAATGAGGCTATTGTACAAAATGTAGATGGTCAAATCCAGGCATACAGCTGCGAAAGAGGAAAAACAAAAAAGCTTTCCATGACTGAATGATGCAAACCAGTGTAAGATGATGGCACTGAAGCAATTTCAAAACTTATATAAGTAAATAAAAAAAAACAAGAAAGAAACAACAGACAGCACTGATCATTTTTTTTTCTTGTTTAAACTTTCTGACCAGACACATTCCACACATTTTAAGATTTGTTATACTTCAAACAAAGTCAGTAAAACACATTTAGAAGCCTTAGCTGCATCCCCTCCTTCTACACTTGGACTTGTCAATGTGTTTTGTTTTGATTCAGTCTTTCTCTTATACAGAGTGTCCCATGTGTGTATGAAGGAGCCCGGTGGGTGCAGTGCCATTGGTCACAGCTCACTGTTAAAAGATGCCATTAACCAAGCTCCCAGTCCAGTGTGAACTGAGAATTAAGTTAGACGAGGCTTCTTGAACAAGCCTCAAGTTATTGCGGGTCTGTAGGTCACTCTGCAAAGTGCAGTGATTTTTTTTCTCTCTCATTTTGTCCAGAAACAAAACAAAAAAATAATGTAAACATCCCATGGTTGTAAGGTTCATATAAGTCTTTTTCTTTTTAAGTTCTCTCCAAACACTCAAACTTCAAATGTGGATAAAAACAAAAAATGAAAGTTAAAGTCATCTTTGTTCACATTGAGAGATCTCCAACTGACCACAACGACAAGAAAGAAACCAAACACCTTCCTCATCCTCAACAGGGAGGTGAATTCAGGCAGGACCAGTGCCCCCAACACTTCTGCCAGCCGGAAAAAGTGAAAAAAAAAGAAACAATGTGAAAAAGGAAGGGACGACTGAAAAAAAGACTGGTATTTACATATATGTATTCTCTTTTGTGTGTTTTTATTTTTTTGTTGTATTTTTTGTCTCCATTCTTCTGAGGTCCTGGTGGTCTTTTATATGGAGGTGCCCCTGTCTGGGTCATTGCCGTAGCTGAAGCTGGGTGCTGGTGTGGGCTGGTAAGGGATGCTGGACATGGTCTTGATGGGACTGCGGAAGAAGCCGCCATTAGGCGCCCGCTGGCGGAAGGGCCCAGCACCCCGCTGATCTGGCACGGCCCCGTAGGCGAAACCGGCGGCTGCTTTGGCCGACAGGCTGCGGCTCAGCGTCTGGATCTGCTCGGGGATGAAGGTGGTGGTGGTGATGTGAGTGTTGCGGAAGTCACTGATCTGCTCCAGCGCCTGCCGGGCGGCTGGCAGCGAGTCCATGTCCAGGGGTGTCAAGTCGATGGAGGAGGCAGAGAACTGCTTGTGGGGGCTCTCGTCCTCTGTGCACAGGCTGTTGACCCGCCGGTGGAGGTGCTCCAGGTCAATCTCCTTGTCGTCCTGTTTGGGGAGGGAGGGGGTTGGAAAGGTAGGAGTAGTGGAGCAGGGAAGGGGGCAGGGGGTTGGGAGTCAGAGGAGGAAATAAGGAGAGAGAGAAAGAAAGACAGAAGAGGAGGAGGGGTGAGGGTTGTTACAGGAGCAGAAGAGGACAGAAGAGGTAACGGGTATAAAGTGAGGAGAGTGGGGAAAGTGTGCGATCATAAGAGAAGAAACAGAGGAGGATGGGTTAGTGTGGCATGGAAGCAGCGTGGTTAGCCAACAGGGAGAAAGGAGGGAGTGAGAGGATGGGTTTAGTACAGGTGGAGCAAGTAAAGGTTGCATGGATGAGGAGTTACCAAGATTCAAGTTGGGAAGGAAATTGCAATAGATTAGGTGGGAATTGAAACAGGAGGAGTTAAGTAGTGAAATGGAGTTGTAGTCAAGTTTGTGATTGCAGCGTGAGCAGCATGAACAAATGAGGATGGGAAGAGAGGCACAAAAAAATGATAAATGCTGAGCTGTAGTAAGGAAGGTATATGGACATGTTTCTATATAAGGGGCAAGTAACACTGCTTTATAGTATTGTCCTAATTCCTAGCTGCACACTCAGAGACTGAGCACATTACTACACTACTACACTCTTAAAAATAAAGGTTCCTATATGGTTTTTCACTTGGATGTACAGTTTTGACAAAAAAAAATAAACATTTAAGTAGGGGAGAATATTTTTACATTATATGGAGGTTCTTTCAATTTTAAAAACAGTTCTTCACACAAGCACATCTCATTTATATAAAGAGCCATCTAGTGAAAGTTTCTTTAGGGCAGTGGTTCCCAAACCAGCCCTCAGGGCCCACAGGTGCTACAGACTTTTGCTCTGTTCCATCTTGGGCTCCCTGAGGAGCGGTTTGGGAACCACTGCTTTAGTATCTTCTATAGCAATATTTCTTAATCCTGCTCCTGGCGACTCACAGCATTGCAGTTTCATATTCCCTGCCTGAGCCCACCTGATCCTGCTCATGGAGGGCTCCATAATCAGTTGATGAGCTTGCAACAAGGAATACTTGAAATGTGCAGTGCTGTGGGTCACCAGGAGCAGGATTAAGAAGCATTGTGCTATAGAATCTTTCCAAAGAACCCTTCTTTGGTTCTTCACCTACCAAAGCACCTGTATTTTTAAAAGTGTGCACCACAGAAATATGAATACAATGCTTTATAATATTCCTACTGTTAAAACTTGTGTTGGGTGGAGAATTATAGCTATTGTAGAATTATGGCCTAGGTAACAGCATTGTCTGCTTTTTCTCCTAGTCATATTTAACATTCACACTCACAGGATGCTGGCCTTTCTGAGGGGCTGCAGTGGACCTAGAGGGCAGAATGGCTTCCTGTTTGTGAAGAGTTTCAAGTGCAATCCTAGGACTTTGTCCAGCAGTGGCAGCCAAACAGACCCTGAGTATAGGGAGGGGGAGAGGTGGGCCTGGCTGGGCTTGGGTTGGAATTCCACTGTAAGCCTCATACTTCCAAGTTGTGCAGGGCAAAGTGTGGGAGACTTGTGGGTACCTGATCTCAAAGAGCAACGGGCTTTGTACAATGGGCAATGGGCTTTATACAGTGGAAAAAAAGTGAGTAAGAGAAGATCCAATGAGTCATCACACTTCAAAGCGATAGTTTGGTGAGAATACACAATTTTCCCCATACCTCAAAAGTAGCTGATTAGCCAAGACATGTTTTGTTGCCAAAAACCACTTAAATCCAGACAAAATTTAGCCTACTAAAGATGGCTACTACTGTTCTTAGCTATGCAAAATGTCACGCAGTGTCGGGAATGTCATAAGCAAATCTTTTTGAGATTACTTATCCTAATGTGATTCGAGGCAAGGGTCTGATGATTTTTGCACAAAGCTAATTGTTGCATGTAAGCTTCTATCACTTGTAAGCTTCATTAGACTAGTCGCTCAAGTGCAAAATTAAGGAAGTAAACTTCAGACATCAAACATGTCTTGGCTTACTGTATATTTTTGGGGAAAGGGGGAAATTGTAAATTCGATTTTTCCCTAAAATATCCCTTTAAGTGTGAGTGTGTGTAGAGGAAGATTATAAGGGATCAATGAAAGCTTCAGTTTAGATATGAATCCAAGCACTGGATGCTTTTGCGTTTTGCTTTTGAAAGAACCGATTTCTTTAGACTCCTGATTAAAAATTAGCACAGATTGGTTTTAAAAATAATCTCATAATAATCTCAAAATATATTAAATCTCACACATACACACACCAATTTAAAAACTTATTTATAAACACTATAAATCCTTTCTCAAGTGTATTTGTTGACATGATTATATCTCTTTTTTGCTTCTTCTGACAGAAATCAATACACTTCTCGAGGTCAGAGAATTGATTAGCACAGAAGATTCAGTAGAGGATTGAGTAGTGTTCAGTAACCTTGATCATAAGTGAACCATTAAGTACCAAAAATTTTTACGGCTTTTATGTATTTATTGTTTTGTATTTTTGCACTGCTGTATTTATCTGAGGTGTATGTAAGACAGACTGTTGGTCAATTCATTGAACAATGTATTTGTGACTTGTTTAGGGGGTATGTTCCACAACCTACGTGTGCTGGAGGCTTGCTGAATGAAGAAAGAGGGCCGCTCAGTGTTGGCAGAAGACAGTTCGCGATGGGATGGCGAACGTGTGGCGCAGGGTGGAGTCCAGAGGTGTGGCGCAGCATGCAGGCGACAGGTGATTGGATGAGGGCCTGAGCGTGAGTGAGATGTCACTCTGTGGCTCGTGGCACGGCTCGTCCTGTCTGACAGACGGCCCGTCAGCCTGTGTCTGCACAGCCACAAGCCAGTCCACGAGCCGCAGGAGGACAGAGGGATGGAGACAGACGGATGCACGGGCGAGCAGACAGACGGACGGATGGAGCAGGCAAATGAGAAACGAGAAAGAGGTTGTTTGAGAGAGGTGGGGGAATGAGTAGAGAAAGACAAACAAACAAATAGTCAGCACACAGATTTGGCTTTTTTTGTTCTTTGCTAAGTCCAACGAGCCAGATACCTGGAAAGGTGAGATGGTAAAAATGGCATTTTTTCATTTCTCTCCCTCGCCCGCTTTAACCCTTCAACACAGAGTACTTATCTACAAAACAAAACAAAAATAAAAAACAAAAACAAATAAAAGAATGCCGTTGTTTCAGCCGGAGACAGTAAATCTCACATGACTTTTTTTGGCTTTTTCTGACAGAAATCACACATTTCTTGAGGTCAGAATAATGGTCAACACAGAAGATTGTGTGGCGTTCAGCAACCTTTGCAATTTGGAAACCCTTTTTAAGTTCACAAAAAAAAATTACTTTTACTTTTCAGAAAAGGCCTTTGATTGAAAAAGAAAGAGTAGAGAAACTGGTCCCTTAACCCCTTCAACTGTGAGCTTATTACTCAGCTAAGACTTGAAATGAAAATGAAATGTGGACGTTACACTTAGTCTGGCAATTTAAGGGGTTAAATAAGCTGACCATGATCACAGTAATGTTCTAAAAATTCTTAGAGGCAATGCTGGACTCCACATAATCGTAACAGCAATGACACAGCAGACATTCGAGGTGAAGGGACAGTCTTTTTTGTTGTTGCATTTTCATTTTTTTTTTTGTCAGGCACATGAAGAGGACACAGCTTGGCCAGTGGCATAGCTTGCTCATCACACCGTGCGTTCTCCGGTTTTGTGGATCCAATTGACCGTCTCTCCCCTCACTACTGGCAGGTGGCGCTCTGAGAAAAACATGGCTTGTTCAAGGGAGGCAGAATGTGCTTTGATGATTTGTCATATCCAATCAACTCACACCAAGAGAGAGGGACGGCCAAGAGATCACAGAAAAGCAGAGAGAGAGGAAACAGGGACAGGCTAACACCATGACATATGCAGGCTATGTGTGTGTGTGTGTGTGTGCGCATGTTAAGAGACAGAGACACAAACACAAAAATTCGTTCTACTGTTTTGGTGTTAGTACAGGTGTCAAGAGTTATTATAGCAGGAAACAACGAAAGCTGTCAGGATGGGTTAGGAATGTACGAAAGCCCATTCCCACCAAAAAGAGGAGAAAAATGTGTTTTGTTCTGTTTGAGGCAACCATAGGTCAAAACATTGGCAAAACATTGATAAATATCCTGAACTAATGACTTATTTTCTCGAAATACTGACTAAATATCTCAAAAAAATAACTATTTTCTCAAAATACTGACTTAGTTTAATTCTTAGCATTTAAAAATAATGACTTGTTTCCTCAAACTATTAACTTAGTGTCTTGAAATTATGATTTAGTTTGTAAAAATACTGACTAAATATCTTGAATTAGTGACTAGCTTTGATGAAATACTAAGCTGAAATAATGAGTTATTTAATTCCAAGAAAATAAGGGTTTTAGGATAAAAAGTAATTATTATGATATACTAAGTCAGTATTTTTAGAAAATAAACCATTATTTTCAGATACAACATAAACATTTTGTCATACTGCTGTCAGAAACAGAGGAGAAGAAAAATCAGTAATTTTATTCTCCACTGCCTGGAAGGAATAGGCTTCCACAGAGAGAGAGTGTTTAGATGCAAAGGCACGCCACTTAGAAGTTAAGGTGTTACATTATGCCCATGAAAAAAAACTGATGTATACAATGGAAAATGAGAGTTTAAAAAATGATGAAATAAGTCTAAGCAAATACTTGACACATTACTGATGTCCTTAGTGTGACGGTAACAGCAACGCCATGACAATGTGTTAGAAATGGGCTTTTATCTTAGCTTTTATCTTTTGCCGTCTGCCAATCAGTTCGCTGCTAATATTAAAACCGATTGATCATTCGAGTGTGAGTGGTGAGCTCAGCTGTGTGTCCTTGCGGGTGTGTGTGTGTGTGTTTTGCCTGTCAGTGAGCCCTGACAAGCTTCAAGTGTGATGGAACCTTCTGGAAGAGCGCACTGAAGAATGGAGCCGCCTCAACGTGATCACGCCGCAGGAGCAGAGAGGAGGTTCAAGTGTGACAGTCGACCTTCTGAAAGCCACTTTAGAAATCCTCACAAGAAATCAGCTTCCATTTCACCTTATGCTGATAATCATATCAAAGACTGCTATTAATTACCTTTAAAGCACCATATGCTTATGCGTACACTTCACAATAATTAGAGCATGCACGGTCCTTTTGCCAGAAAAGGTACTCTAAATATTTTAGCCATACACTTGTAAATAAATGTACACAGCCAGTACGTGAGCTGTGAACATATGAGAGTGAGATGAATATGATTTTTGTCAGTATGCTGTCCTTCCTCCAAGAACCAAGGAGACACAATAAATATATCTCCAGCCGGTATGCTTACTTTAAAAGGCCACTGAAAAGAGATACAGTTGGGTCCAGAGTCTGAGACCATATCGATAACGAAACCTGGAAATAAACAACAGAAAGTTTTAAGAATTTTGGAATTTTTTTTTGAAAAAAAAGTTATGACTAGTAAATTGAAGGAGACACTGACCATGTTAGGGCATTTGTACAAAAAAGACAGATTTTTTTAGTCCTTTCTCTTCTATTGACGCTGTCATGTTCAGACAACTCTAAGGTGGATTTGATCTACTTATCAGAGGTTTTTGCAGAAATGTTTGCAGTCCATGTCAGCTTGAGTGCACACTCTCAATAAAGTAAAAGAGGGACAAACCAAACACCAAGAAATTCTGAAACTTATGTAGGTATTTTGAAACATTCTACTTTTCGCTTAAATTGTTATGCTGATAATATAATTAGTAGTATAAAATTTAGTTTTAAATTACAAAAGAAGGCAAAATAGAAGCATTTTCACTGTCAGCCTAAGACTTTTGGACCCCAAGTCAGGAAATATTTCAGGAAACCATCATCTACTATATCATACTGTGTAAGTGTCAAATACTACAGTATCATATAGTATACAGTATCTTATACAACCATACTTCATGTATTTTGGGATCCAAGCACCAAACGTGCTCTGTTGTATTCTATTGTTTTTTTAAGATTTTATTTATTTATTTATTTATTAATTTATTTAAACATGAAACTTTTGTATCTTCAAATTCATTATCTGATGCACCCTAGCCACTCCAACTGCTCTGTGCCTATGGAGTGGTCAGTGGGTCAGTGGCCTGAGGACAGAGCCATAACAGAGATGGCGGGAGGGGGGCTGCTCCAGCCATTGCTGTGTGTGGTGGGGTGGTGTGCAGCCTGCTGCTTCTGCTGGCAGATGAAAGCTGTTAGGAAGGCAGGGGAGAGGGCGGCTCAAGGCTGGACCCAAACCCTGCTCACTGATCAAAAAGCAGTCTGTAGGGTGAGCTGTTGTTTTTTTCATTCTTTACACCTTTGTTTTTTATCTAGAACCGTGAACAAAAAGTGTTTGCATGCACTGCCTGTGGTGTGGGGGGCCTCTATGGCTAGGCTCATTCGGATGCCATGGCAGACGAGTGAGGTAAGTGTATGGGAAGGGACTTGGACTTGATGGACGTGAGCAGTTTGCATTGTATTGAGTGGGTTGTAGTAAAGTATTGACTGGAAGAGACAAACACCTGCAACCTGACATCTGAGAGGGTGATGAGGAGCCATTAGGGTTAAATCATTCTGTCAGACAGAAGCAGTTCAGGTGTTGTGGGCTTTTAACAGCAGAAGTCTTTTCCCCTGTCTTGTACACTACTTCAATTTGGATTAATTGGCCTGCAGTTGATGTTATGGTATGAAGTGGACAGTGTAGCAAAATGGATCCTGTCATTTAGAGCATCCAAATGTTCCCATTTGGAGTGAGACAGTTTCATCTTAATTGCTAAACCTGAGCTGCCAAAAAGCGGAATTACATTCCATTTGTTGTTGCCAATTAATTTTCCTAAGCATTAACAAGCAATACACAAAATAAGGACTATCTGAGGCTGGGCGAAATATTAAAACGGTCTTCCAGTTGCTGCTTCATTTTATTCAATATCCTTGCTACTTTCCTTTGATAGGAATGATCAATATTAGATTATTATGCAACACTAGTAAGGACATTGATTTCATAACACCTTTTAAGAGATTTTAACAACATAGCTCCATTATGGCCAGTATATCTTTGGCAATTGCCTGTTTTTGTCTTTGAAGAGTCTATGTTTATGTCTCTGTCTTGAGTCTTGAGATAAGCGTGCCCTCAGAAAGATTTGTGTGCTCTTTGTTAGCCTGGCTGTCTCAGACTTCATCTTTTTGGCCAGTTCACTGTGTTACTTCTATATTAGAGAGGCCATTAAATGCACCCCCTTTGCTGACACTAAACAATGGAAACAAAATTTAATTCAGCTAAGAGCTGTGCTAAATTCTAGAGAGGTTTAAAGTTTTAAAGCATATTTGTCCCATTAGAGTGATCACCTCCTTTGCTAAGTGTTTTTTTGTGACCTTCATCAACCAACCCACCAGCTCTGGTGAAGCTCTGCCCCTTAGGATTCTCACCTCCTTGGAGGGCACTCTGGAGCCCTTCCGCCTTGTCCACCAGGTCTCCACGGTAGCGATGAGGCAGGACAGCACCACGCCTGCTGCCAGCACAAAGAACACACCAGCAAAGCTATGGATGTCCAAGGCACTGCCACTTTTCTTGGTGCCTACAGCCGAGTACAGGTCACACGGGCTGTCTCTGGGCCACCACTTCAGCTTCAGGATGTCCATATCCCCATTCTGCTGCAGTTCCAAGATCCTGAACATAGAACATGAGATATACACACTGTATTTGGAAATGGTTCCTTCAGAACTAGTGTTGCACAATCTATGGAAATTCTGATGCTTGTTCAGTACTACAAGGTGGTAAACAATTCAGTTCTCTAACTTGCAGTACTTTAAATTCTTTATTTAAATAGGCTCACATCACATGATACTGACCTTGTATTCTTGCTGTAAATTCAGATTGCACATTACATGGTCATTTGTGTATCTAAAACATTTAAGTCAAAAGTTTTATTATGCTTCCAAAAACAATCGTGTTTTGTATTGATTAAAAGACACTGAATTCAAAAAGCAAGGATGTTAAATCAGATGGAACAATTAGACTATTTTTATGTTCTGGGTTTTCCAACAATTTAGAGTGTTTTTAATATTTTTGCCATAGTATTGTTTTGATGTCAGACACTGTGATATTATAATTGGTATCAGTATCAAAGACAAAATTCCTGTATTGTCGCATCCCTAGTCAGAACACGGAGCTCACGGCTGTGTGCTTCAGTGAGCTGACTGAATCTGACCATTTAGTGAAATGATGCAGAGGTTATAACCACATTAAAGATTCATGGTTGAAACAAGTAACTAGAGACTCTATGGTTCAATAAGTAGATACAAGTAAGCCAATAAAAGAGAAACATATAGCCTACATTACATTGCAGCTGCCTATATAAGTATTGACATGTCTTTTCTGAGGTTGTAATGTGTGACTCAAACCAGCCTCCAGAGGTTTCTGCGCTATCCTATAATCCACTGTTTATGTTCTCTCCAGTGGCATCTGTTGCTGCAGTGGCTGAATTTCCACTCCACTTGCCAACACTAGAGGGCAGTGTCTGCTCAGAAATAAAAGCAGGTGACAGCATTCTGTCTTCTGCGCCAATCATAAAAAATGAGTGTGTTTTTAATGTAGAGGGGAATAGTTTGCAATAACGCCAGTCCAGCAACTGGATATGAATGATGATGAAAACTCAACACAGACGTTTTATGAGCGCTCTTTGCATTGATTGACTGTTTTGCACTGCGGCGCTGTCTCTCTGGCCTGACTGCCTGACTGCCTCTAGTGGCAAGTGACACCATGTAGGCCCTCCCTGAAGGAGAGAGCAGTGAACTGCAAAGTCTCTGCATTCAGACTCACTCTGCACACACACACACAAGCATAAACTAGATGTATGCTATGAGTGTAACAATACAGTGCACTGTGTTCTTCAGCATAAGCCTTTCAATTCAGTACACACAGGCATTAAACAATACATTCAATTGAATGGATCAAATAAAGTACTCAGTTTATAAGCAAGCCCACAAAGAGGGCAGACCCTCCCTCTTCTGAAAATAACTCTTCTTGTTTACCGCAAAATTGAGAGCAGACAGGAAAAGTACACTTCTCATACACTTTATGGACAAAAGTATGGGGACACTCCTCTTAGTCACCAAATTCAGATGTTTCATTCAGTCCCATTGCCACAGATGTATAAAATCAAGCACCTAACCATGCAGTCTGCCTTTACAAACATTTGCGAAAGAATGGGTCGTTCTAAAGATCTCACTGAATTAGAGCATGGTACTGTAATAGGATGCCACCGTTGCAACAAGTCAGTTCGTGAAATTTCTTCTCTCCTAGATATTCCACAATCAACTGTTATTGCTGAATGGTAGAAATGTTTAGGGACCATAGCAACTCAACAAAAGCTACCAAAGTTACAGAGTAGGGTCGCTGAGTGCTGAGGCGCATAGTGCATAAAAGCCGCCAACGCTCTGCTGACTCAATAACTGCAGAGTTCAAACCTCCTCTGGCATCAACATCAGCACAAAAACTGTGTGCCGGGAGCTTCATGGCATGGGTTTCCATGGCCCACAATGCCAAACGTCGGACGGAGTGCTGTAAAGCGCTGGCCACTGGACCCTAGACCCTATTCTGTGGAGTCACGCTTCTCTATCTGTCTGATGGACGAGTCTGGATTTGGCGAATGCCAGCAGAATGTTACCTGCCTGACTGCATTGTGCCAACTGTAAAGTTTGGTGGAGGAGGGATAATGCTATGGGGTTGTTTTTCAGGGGTTGGCCTAGGCTCCTTAGTTTCAGGGAAGGGAAATCTTAATGCTTCAGCATATCAAGACATTCTGGACAATTGTATGCTTACAACTTTGTGGGAACAGTTTGGGGAAGAACCTTTTCTGTTCCAGCATGACTGTACTGCAGTGCACAAAGCAAGATCCATAAAGGCATGGCTGGGTGAATTTGATGTAGAAGAACTTGACTGGCCCACACAGAGCCCTGACCTCAACCCCATCGAACACCTTTGGGATGAACTAGCACAGAGATTGCGAGCCAGGCCCTCTCTTCCAACATCAGTGTCTGATCTCGTAGATGAATGGACAAAAATTCCCACAGACACACTCCAAAATCTTGTAGAAAGCTTTCCAGAAGAGTGGAAGCTGTTACAGCTGAAAACAAGGGATTACCTTAATATTAATGCCAGTGGATTTATTAATGGGATGTCATGAAAGCTCCTGTAGGTGTAATATATATGTGTCCCAATACTTCTGTCCATATAGTGTATTTGATTTAACTTTCATGATGTTGAATGCTCTAAAAACTAAAAACGGAAACATTAACATATTCAAATAAGGCAGATTTTCACACACACACACACACACACACACACACACAAACACACACACAAACATAACATGCAAAAAAAATTTCAGCCTAGAGTAAAAGCTGTAATCTGATTACTGAAACCACAAGAATAATTTTTAATCTTAGTACACAAGAACTGTGCAAGTCGCTGACTACTCTTATTTCTTTCTTTCTTTCTTTCTGTCTTCTCCTCTTACGATATGTATAATTTATAAATATCTATTTATAATATAACTCTAGTTTTAGAAACCTATTTTTTTCCACTTATTTTCCTTTCATTTTCCCTTTCATTAGGCAACTGGATTATCTTATATCTAATCTCCTCAGAAATATCTCCCAAGCTTGTATATAATGGCTGTTTTGCCTGGAAATTAAATAATAAGGGTGATCTCTGACTTTTGCACAGTACTGTATATTAATAAAACATAACACATGAAACATACTCAGAAAAATTAAAAAGAACTGCAAAAGGATTGCATTGGTAGTAAGCATGATATGTGACAGGAAGACAAGCCAACATTTCTGATTATTCTTCATTATATGGAAAGCAAGCCAAGCAAAAGTAAATAATAGCTCTTCTGGTCCCAGTAGACTCAGCATGTGATAAAATGCTGTTTGGGCCAGATGAGTATTAGTTACAGGGTTTTGTAATGCACACAAAAAGACCTGGCTCATTCTTAGTATTTCCAATGCAGTGATGCGTAAATTGCCCTGTACACTGTTTGGAAGCATTTTTCCACTGTTTTGCATCATTTTTTCTATTTCATTTGGAAAAAAGAATAGCTTTAGCTTACATTACTGATTACAGCTCTGTGCAGGATGTCAGTGATCTGGAAGGGAACGTGCTGTGTGAGAATACTTTCCCAAGCCTGCATGACTACAGCAAAAACAGTATGTACATGTTTTATGATATCCATCATAACATTGGCTCAAAACACTGAACACGTCCCTGAACATGCAGAGGTCCTTTCATATTCCTCTTATTACATGCGGTGTACTTTATACAGAGAGAAACAAACTTGGACAACAAGGTGAAATTGGTTACTTTTATAACATATTCATAAAATGTATATTCCAGATCAAAAAGATAAGCATGTGACTAAAGAACAGAATGTCAGCTTGCATTTGTGGTCATACAACATGAACCATACAGGAAAAAATATCATTTGTTGTGCCATTTTCACTCTACCAATTTCAGCTGAGCATAAGCATTGGGACAAATTAAAGTTGGTATTTGGTCCCAACCCCTTAACATGCCTCATGTCAAATGGGTCTGTAACTCATTGACATCACCGGGCTCTGGATAACTTAATTTGGAATGTTCTGTCAAGCCTTTATGGCAGGCCCTTTCTTCTTTCCTCTTACTGCTTTATTTAGGAATGTTATCATGGTGAAATTGATGCTCAGTTAGGTTTAAATGAGGAGACTGACTTGGCAACTTTTCACTTTTTCTTTCTGATGAACTTGGGCCATTGTCTTGATGCATTCTACAAGTTTGGAGCCGTTTATTTGGACATGGAAAGACAAGATGTTTATGCACATTTCAGAATTGATTCTGCTGCTATGGTCAGCAGTTACATCATCAGTAAAGACCAGTGAACCATTCCAGAAACAACCATGCTTGCTCAAGCCATGACACTACCTCCTTCATGCTTGAAAGATGAAGTGGTTTCTTAGTGTCATTCACAGTCCCTCTCTTTGCTCCAGAACCCTTCTGGCTCATCTTCGTACTTCTTTATGAATTCCAGTGTGGCCCATCTGTTCTTGGTGCTGACGAGAGGACGATGCCTCTCGTGGCTTGTGTATTCCTTCTCGTGAAGTCTTCTGTGAAAGGTGAATACTGACACTTTCACCCCTGCGCTCTGGAGAACACTCTGTTTATTTCTTTGGATGTTATTTTGGGGGGTTTTCTTCACAGCTCAAACAATTTTCCTGTCATCAGCTGCTGTGGGCTTCCTGGGATGACCTGATCATCACAAATTGCTTACACTTCCAGTTGTCTCTTTCTTTCTCAATATGATTACATACTGTTGTTTTTAGAATGCCCATTTGTTCTGCAATGGTTCTGATGGGTATTTGCTTTAAACCCATGTTCAAAACTGCCTGCTTTTCCATTATAGTCAATTCACCGTTTTTGTACCCCTAATGCAAAATCTAATTACTACAATCAACCCTACACATTCACAGCTTTTTTATGTGCTTAGAATTAAGGGAATATGGAACAACTGTGCAGTCAGAATCACCTGTCATTCATTTGTCCCAGTACATATGCTCATCTCAAACTGGAGGAGTAGCCACCAAATGAAACAAGGGTACGTTAGTAAGGTTGAACTTGAAAGGAAAACC